AAAAAAAGAAAGGAGGGGGAGAAGAAGGGGGGAAAGGGGGGAAAAGAAAAGGAAAAAAAGAAACTCCTCATCCAGCAGGATTCACCAGCATTACTGAGACCGCAGAGCGCAGTCCTACGGCAGAAGCGCGGCCGCCGAGGAATTCCCACCCGCAGCGGGGCCGGTCGGGCAGCCTGCGACCAGCAGGGACGGCCCCTAAGAGACCCCGGGGCGGTGGGAGCAGCGAGAAGCCCCCTCAGTGCCCCGGGGCGGTGGGAGCAGCCCCTGAGCCCCTCAATGATCCCGGGCGGCGGGAGCAGCCCCTGAGCCCCTCAATGATCCCGGGGCGGTGGGAACAGCCCCTGAGCCCCTCAGTGCCCCGGGGCGGCGGGAGCAGCCCCTGAGCCCCTCAGTGCCCCGGGGCGGTGGGAGCAGCCCCTGAGCCCCTCAGGGATCCCGGGGCGGTGGGAACAGCCCCTGAGCCCCTCAATGATCCCGGGGCGGCGGGAGCAGCCCCTGAGCCCCTCAATGATCCCGGGGTGGCGGGAGCAGCCCCTGAGCCCCTCAGTGCCCCGGGGCGGCGGGAGCAGCCCCTGAGCCCCTCAGGGATCCCGGGGCGGTGGGAGCAGCCCCTGAGCCCCTCAGGGATCCCGGGGCGGTGGGAGCAGCCCCTGAGCCCCTCAGGGATCCCGGGGCGGTGAGAGCAGCCCCTGAGCCCCTCAGTGCCCCGGGGCGGTGGGAGCAGCCCCTGAGCCCCTCAGGGATCCCGGGGCGGTGAGAGCAGCCCCTGAGCCCCTCAGGGATCCCGGGGCGGTGAGAGCAGCCCCTGAGCCCCTCAATGATCCCGGGGCGGTGAGAGCAGCCCCTGAGCCCCTCAGTGCCCCGGGGCGGTGGGGACAGCCCCTGAGCCCCTCAATGATCCCGGGGCGGTGGGAGCAGCCCCTGAGCCCCTCAATGATCCCGGGGCGGTGGGAGCAGCGAGAAGCCCCCTCAGTGCCCCGGGGCGGTGGAAGCAGCGGGCAGCGGGGCACGGCCGGGGGGAGCGGGGCCTGCCGTGCCGGGCGTGCCCAGCAGGGGGCAGCAGACACGCGGGGAGGGAGCGGGATAACGTGGGGAGAGTCAGGATAACGCGGGGGGAACCGGGATAACGGCGGGAGTTGGGATAACGAGGGGAGTTGGGATAACGGCGGGAGTTGGGATAACGGGAGGGGCCGGAATTACCGGGGGGGGCCGGGAACCGGGATAATGGGGGAAGTTGGAATAATGGGGGGAGAGTCGGGATAACAGGGGGAGAGTCAGGATAACGGGGGGAGCCGGGATAACGGGAGAGGCCGGCATAATGGGGGGAGTCGGGATAACGGGGGGGCTGGGATAATGGGGAAGGAGCCAGGATAATGGGGAAGGGGAACTGGGATAACGGGGGAAGTTGGGATAACAGGGGGAGAACCGGGATAACGGAGGGGGTTGGGATAATGGGTGGGGCCGGGGGGATGCCGCAGCGTTCTGCCAGGAAATTACGGTTGTCCCAATCCTGGAAGCGTTTGGATGGGGCCCCGAGCAACCTGGTCTTGTGGACGTTGTCCCTGCCCCTGGCAGGGGGTTGGAGGATCAGACTTTGAGGTTCCTTTCAAAGCAAGTCATACTCTGATTCTATGAAACACAACCCTTCAAGAGCCCCTTTGGCACAGGGGACAGGCTTGGAGCCCCCAAAGGGACCAGAACTTTGAGCATCACCACCTACACCGTGACTGGCACCAAGCAAGTTGGGACAGAGGACAGGGAAGGAAGAACTGACCGGTTTTAGCCCCAAGTATCAGAGCATCCCTACAGCAAAGGGTCACCCAGTGATACCAGAGGAAGGAAAGTTTTCACCTGGCAGACCCCAGTCCCGAAGACAACCTGTTCTGTTACCTCCCACACAGCTCCAGCTTATTCAGCTAACTGGAGCCAGTGATGCCCCACTCCAGCCCCAGAGGGCAGGGAGGGCTGTACCCAGCACTCCCATCCCCTGGGCTCACCCTGACCCTGCCTGCAGCCACAGGGAGCCCAGCTGTGCACCTGACTCAGTACCCAGGGGGCTGGGGGAGGCTCATGGCAAACACCACACCTCCAGGGTGCAGGAATTGTGCCCTCCCAGACTCTGCAGGTTCGAGGTGCTGGGGACAGGCACCACAATCACCAGCACATCACTGCTGTGAGCCACTTTGGCACCTTTGGCACACAGCCCAGTGCCTCAGCTCACACTGCAAAACAAGGGACCCAAACACCCACAAACATCACCTCAAAACCCCCTGGAAGCCATAAAGCAAAGGGGGTCAGCAAGGTTACACCTAATTTTCCAGCTCCTCCATGTCCCTCCTTCAGGGAGCATTTGGGAATGACAGACCTTCCCTGGCTGCTCAATCACATCAGTACCTGGGAGGGTTCCAGCTATTTTCAAGCCAGATAAAGAAGATCTTCAGCACTAAGAAGAAAACCAAAAAGTGCCATCTGTGAGGTCAGAGATGAAGACCAGTAATTCTCATGGTATGGTACCTCTCACCACACAACCAGGTACAGGCAGGCTAGAAGGGCAGACGGAGGGAATGGTGACAAATCCATCTCAGGAACCGGGGCTCTGCAAGGACAGGCAGGCAGCCAGGCTTGTGCTCTGGGGATTTGCAGACTACCCGTCCAGATTGCTTTGCAAAAACAAGGCACTTTTACACTGAGGGCAGTTTTGGAAAGTACACAGCATTCTTGCAACCAAGAGACGAAGCCCAAGAGAGAAAAGAAAGGGAAAAGAAAAAAAAAAAAAAAAAGTGACAAACATGGGCTGTTCCAAGCAGCACTTCCAAGAACCTGTCTCAGCCACGAGAACATGGAGATCGCAGGAGGACGTCAGCAAAGTGCTGACAAACAGCAGCTCCCAGGAGCACAGGAGGGCCCTGGGAGCACAGGGCTCTGCTTTTCTTAGCACTGATGAGACTCTCAGAGCACATCTGTGAGCACACCTGGCACAGAGCAGGCAACAAGGAGCACAAGAGCACGTGCTACTCCCTCACCCTGAGGGAGCCTGTGTACTAGTCCCAGTTTGTTTCCTCTGTCCATGCTAATCCAAACCACCTGGAGCAGGAATTCCCACCAGGGAGAAGGGAATTAGATTTTCTCAAGGATGATAATCCATTTAAAGACAGCACTTCTGAGGAGCCTCAGCACTGCTCCCTGTACAGCCTCTGCTCTCCCACCTGCCAGGAGAGAAGTGGGTCCTGTCCATTGAGAGCAGCAAACTGACAGAGCAGAGGAGTTTGGACAAACAGCAGCTTCCTCCAGAATTTGCCTGAAAGTGTAGCTGTTCAATCCCAAACAGCATGAAGGCACCTGTGGACTTGCTCCCAGAGCAGCTGATCCACTCTGCACCTATTGGAAGGGCTACATTGGTTTAAAGAGGGTTGGCTTGAAACTTGTTCAAGCAAAACACCCAGTGCACTGCTTTCATGTGAGGGGAAAGGCACAGGCCTTCCTACCTCCCTCTGCTCCTCCTGATTACAAGGGGACAGCGCTCTCCAAGTGTCACCACAAGGCAGGACACTCAGCCCATGGCACTGTGCTGTCTCTGCAGCTCCAGAGACGCAGGGCAGCTGGTGCTATGGGAATTGTGCATGGGTGGGGCACTGCAGGCAGCTCAGGAGCTGCTGACAAAGCCCCTTTGAGCTGCAGCCACCGCGCCAGTCCCAGCGTGCCACCCCTTCAGTAAACCAAGTAGTTACACAAACATTAGCTCCTGGTTATCCAGCTCCCAAAAGTAATTTCAGATCAGAAACAGTCTAAAAAGCCAGCTTTAGAAAGTACCATTTATTTGAGGAACAAAACAAAACCAGTAACAGTGGAAAATTCCCAAGAGCCATTACACAAGAGAATCTGAATATCCCGAGAAGCAGCCACAGCTCCTGCCTGCCTGGCAGTGCTGTCCACAGGCAGTACAGTCCTCCCTCTCCTCTCCAGCCTCCTGTGAACTCTGTGCAGCTTTGAGAGCCTCCCAGAGCCCAGTTTCCCTGAACACACTTGTACTGGGACTGAGTCACCCGGAGGAGGACCTCTCCTCTGTCCCAATGTCTCAACACATGTTCCTGCCCACACATTTTCTTCTATCATCTCTCTGGATTTGGCCTCAAGCCTACAGCAAATCCTCAGGAAGGAGGTTTCAGGAGCCATGAAGATTTCCAACCAGCCTTTGCAACTGCCTGGTTTAGTGCTGCCTGCTCAGGTGCTCAGTTTGGGGACCCACACACAGATTTTTGTCTCACACCACGTCACAGACTCACAGATGCAGGAGGAGCCAACTTGCTCGTGGTTCTGTAGCACCTTCCTGACACGCTGGCACCAGACACACAGCACCCTTTGCTCTGGGAGGCTGGTCCCACCCTCAGTGGAGGTAGGGGCCAAGAACAGGGGATGTTAAAAGAGCCACAGTGGAGTTCAGAGCCTGCCCCTATGAAAGCTCGGTGCTTCCCGGTGGGAGATGCCACCCTGGCAGAGCTCAGATCCCCTGAGGCAGGGCTTGGCACAGCACTGCAGGGGACAGAGTTGTCACCTCCACCCTGAAAGCATCCAAAGCTTGCTCCAAAGGGCAGCCCAAGGTGGGGATCTCTGCTATGATTCTGTGCATCCAACCAGCACATCCTGGCTGCAGCTGCTTCCAGGAGCTGGACACGGCCATGGAGCCCCCAGGCTCCTTCCCAAGCACAAGCCCCTGGTGCTCCACACGAGACATTGGACAAACAGCAGCACAAACAAGATCAAAAGCCTCTTACACATCACACCATAAGGCTGCTGAAGAATTAACTCCAGCCTTTTCATTCTCATCTCTATATATCTCAGTAAAATATATAATATATAGTTCTATAGGACTGATTGTAATATATTACAGCCTAGAATTACTCCTGTCTTTTCCCTACTTCAATCATATTTATGCATCCAACTTTGCATACAGAAGTTATTGCCTTGAATTTGTAATTGAAATTCACAGAATAAAGCTTAAATAGTTTTCACAGAGACTCATTATATTAGTGTTTTACATAAAAAGGATAAAAGTTACCAAATGAGAAAGCAGCCATTTCAGAAACTATAAATAATTCTATTTTAAAAAATCCTAGAAAAGTTATGAGAAAACCATAAATATATTTACCCTCTATAGTAGCTGCTGTAGAACTAGAAGAAACCTGTAACACTCTGTAGCTAACGCTGCTTCAGTTCAGAATATAAATCATATAAAACAGCATCTCTAGAGAAATGCCCGGCCAAAGGAAACACAAAGGGATTGAAAAAATAAATCTGAGGAAATTAAAAAAGTAGATTTTTTTTATTATTTCAAAACAATTTCTACAAACTTTATATAAACATTAGGCTATTTTCTTTTAAATTTTGTTACAAAAAATCCTACAAGCAATCCTTAAAAAAAGGTAAGAGACTGCAGGCAAGGAAAGGGTGTTGCCATAGCCAAACACCACTGGCTGTCCTGATTTCATGGACTAATGACCCTTGCCTGGGGCCAACAGGAAGAGACAGAAGTCTCCTGGGGAAGATATTCTCATAGGCCCTTTATGGCATTCAGGGATATTGAGCCCTTGTGGGCCTTTTACTCCCTGATAAGGCAACATTATCGGTAGTGTAAGAGATTCATAAATAGTTCTCCACAAAAATGTTTCACATCAACAGCCTGCTGCAAGACATCTAGTAGCAAGATTTATAAAAAAAGCCATCTTCTATAGAAGCAGCCAATCCCAGCACAGCACGCTGGATGCAAACACATGGTGTTTGCTTCCATACAGTCTGGTTTGTGTTTATATACCCTCTATAAAACCAAGCAGAAAATTTGGCATCTTTATTCCTTTTACACTAACTTAGAAAAAAAATACACTGAGGTTTTTTTTTCAGACTCTTTGTATTTCATTGGGCCCTTGTTAGCTGAGCGGGATGGGAAGGGTCACGAAGGAAGTTTGTTTTTTCTCAAAGTCACTTTGAAATTCAATCCAAAAAATAAAAAAAAGCATTTGTTCAGCACATCTCATCTGAGGGCACAGTGTTTCCATACAGTCTGCTTGTCCTTTGATGGGCACAAGGTGCTGCTGAGCTTTAGGCATAGAACTCGTTTGTGGGGGCTTTCTTGTAGATGGGTTTCTTCCCCAGGTCGTAACTGCCCTCGTCCTTCTTCTTCATGCGATAGACCAAGAGCAGGATCAGGAAGATGGCAAACAGGAGACCCACTGCTCCTCCTGCAATGAGAGCTGGGGAGAAAAGAGAGACTGGAATAAGTCTTGGACAACTCCAAACCACTGCTTCTTCAAGAGGAGCAGCCCCCAGAGTCAGCGTCCATGTGCCTGTCACTGCATGTGCTGGCACTTTCAGCAACAGCAGATGTTACTGGCAAAGGCCAGGACTGCTTCCAGTCCAACCACAGAATAATCACATGTTCCACATTAACCAGTTTGAGCTAATCTTCCAGTTTAGTCCAAAAAAGAAATGTTGACAAGATGATGTTGTCTCCCTGTATAGAGACAAAAAACCACCCTAAAATGCCCCACCACAACCCATAGGAAAGTGGTATAGCTCCAATCTGAATGCTTTGTTAACCTGTGTGAGCACACCCTGGGGACTCTGTATCTCAATTCATCAACGTCCAATTACCAACACCACTTCCCTCAAAAAAAAAAAAAAAAAATCAGAAAACCCCAAGAACCAAAACCCACAAACCTGCAAAAAGCTACTAAGATTTCCTCTCTCCTCACACCAAGTATGACCACAAGGCTTCACTGACGCTTATTCCTTGTTGTGACACCTATTGCTTGCACTAAATCAGCTTCTTGGCTAAATGGTTTTGCAATTCACTCTTCCAGTCTCTTCTCTGACTGCAGCTCAGCAAAAAGGACTGGGGTTTCTACTCAGACCATCAGGCCAAGTGCCTGAAGCAGCAATATGCTGCTGGGGATCGACCTGTCCCACATGTTGAGGGGAAGGCAGTCACTTGGTTTTGCTCTAGACATTGGTACTCCGATTCCTACAGCTGACCACACGTTGGAATCCCTTAGAAGGGTGGCTTGGCTCCTGGCAAAGCTCAAAAAAGGCAGAACTTGGGCAGAGGTTGGAAGGAAAATACCTGTATTTGATATTAAAGTCTATGTTGTCACTGCTTTATGGCCAGAAACACCTCTTGTTGAGGCAGTATCTGGGTGCAGAGCAGCTGCCACATGAGTCAAGCCAACAGTCAGCTGGCAGGCTCAAAAATAAGCTGTTTATCCCAGCAAAGACAGCAACAGGCTCTGCTGTTAAGGGCTGGGAGGCAGAAGCCACCCTGCTACACGTAGCCACAGTGGTAAAGCAACTCATTCCCCTGTCTGCAGGGAGCTGCTCCCCAGAGAAACAGGGAACAACAGAAGCCATTTAGCTTTTCAGTATTAATGATTTACCAGGACATGGTGGATTATTACCTGTAAGGACTTCTGTTCTTTCAAAGATGCTGCTGTTGGCTGTGCTTGCCATGGAGATCTTGTTGGACAGGTTCTCTTCGATAGGTACAGCTTTGTCTGGAATGATTTCATTGTCCACCATTGTGTTTTTCTTCTCACCTTCTATCTTTCTCCCAGTATCTCCAGGGATATAGTTGTCAGATATCTACAGAACACAGACAAACCACACCCATCAGCAAGCAGCACCCAGCCTACCCACAGCTGAAAGCAGGAGGGTGTGCAGGGAATGAAAGTTTGCTCAGTGCATTACGAGTACACTGTGCCTGCTCATGCAGGTGGATCTGTCTTGATGCCATGTCCTGCAGGGGGGAGGGTGCTCAGAAAGTTTCACAGACAGAGCAGAGGAGCTACATGCTGTTTAAAGACACACTGGGGCAATACCTACCGCAGGGGTATCCATGGTGGTCAGATACAAGCCATCTTCAGAGTCTGGGTAGTCTGCAGAAGGAGCAAAAAAAAAAAAAAAATAGAAAGGGTTCTTAAGTTTTTATCTCATTACATGCTGTTTTTACAGGATTCAAACCCTTCCTGCAATACCAGCAACTGCACATACTAGGACTCTTGTCCTCTACAATTCCCTCTTATCTACTGGTACTATTTATCATTGAATGACTTGGATTGCACAAGACCACCAGATGTAATCTTGAAACCAGCACCTCTCCACTGGGAGGGATCTTCAGCTGGACCCACTGACCCTGCAGAGTAGGTCTGCCACAGCTTATATAAGGTAATGCCAATGGAGGGCACTGCTCCCACCGCCCACCCCTAAAGGATCCTTCACCAACCCTCCAGATCTGCCCAAACATGTCAGGCACTGATTTCACCATTTGTTCTTTTACTTTTGGAGAACAAATGTTCACATAAAGAGACACAGAGCTACAGAAACTGGTTTGGGCAGGGAGCTTTGCATGTCACAGGGAGTTCACTTGAACACCAGTTAGTCCTTTACCTTGTTTGGCCTCAACTGAGATATTAACTTTAGGCCTTTTAACACTGTCTCAACAATAGCTTATTTTTTTAAATTTTTCTCAGCAGTTCTTTGGAGTTCAACAGGAAAAAGATCCAGCCAGCACAAGGCCTTTTCATTTGCAGCAAAGCAAGCTTGGCTGGACTCCATGTGTCCTCCCTGAGTGATTCAACATCACAGCACCACTACTTTCGCTGTTCTCATCTGAGTGACTACGAGTCACAGTTTTCATCTCCACCTGACACTGTGGTTTCTCAGGAGCTCTGGCTGTGATTTAGCCTATCACTTGAGGGCTGGTGCTGAAAGAAATTTCACAGCAGCTGCTGAGGGAGATCCACTTCCCCACTCACCTCCTGACCCAGATGTCTCATCTATATCTAAGCCATCAGAGGTTAAGTGAGGCCTGAAATCACCAATGTCTTCATCATCTGGCAAGTCCCCAGAGGCAGGGTAGTCAAGCCATCCAGCATCCATGGTTTCAGTTTCTCTCACCTGTAAATGGGAGTGGAGACATGTTAAATATGAAACAACTCTCCAGAAGCATTTCACAGAAGGTTCAGAGCCTGAGTACATCACTTCTACCAGAAAAATATTAAATGCTGAACTTCCTCTCCACCAAAAGCCTTACCTTTATCAGCTGGATTTCCCTAGAATTTCTCAGAACAGAAGTGAGAGCCAGGCTGGGAGGGGAATTTCCTGAGGGCTACAGATTGAAGAGGTTCACCCAAACACACAGGGTGAAAATATCACAAAAGGATCTTGGTCAGGAGTTTGTGGCAAAGCATTTGTTAAAGCAGTGCCTTGAGCTTGTGATAAGGGAGAGCTTGGAAGGACTTGGAATTCCCAGGAAAAGCCTGATGGGTGTAGGCCAGTTTTTTGCATAGCACCAAAGCAATTCCTCATTCTTTATACTGAGAACAAGCCTATTTTATCACCCAAGGGTTAAAAGCTGGTCTGTCAGTTTAGCTGAATTGCAGTGCAATACAGGCTGAGTTCAAGAGCACTGCTATCAATAATTACTTGCCTGAAGGAAGAGCTTCCCCTGCATCACCTGCTTTAAAAGCATGTAAACAAACAAACCCATAAAATATCTGCAGGATCCAAAGGCCCAAGGAGTGCAGTTCCAGCAGGAAAGCTGGAGAGCCTCCCAGCTATCAGCTGTTTGGCCACAATGGCAATTTGTGCACACACACAACATGAGCATACCAGAGCTCATTTGCACTTGGACCTTCAAGGAGCCACGAGCCCAAATCTCCTGCCCTCACCAAAGTTATGCAATTTCCCAGCACTATTTCTCCTCGCCCTGGGGCCAGGCCAGTGAGGGTACCACAGGTATGAGCTTTGGGGGTTGCTCAACACCACCCCACAGACTCCAGATGCTTCCAGAACCCAAAATCATCCCCATGGAGGGGGACTCAACCCCTTCCCCCAGGCAAGGGGCACAAATGCAGATGGACAGGTCCCTTAGCTGGGGGCTAAGCTGACAACATTATTTCATGGTGTCCTCACAGGACAACTGGGAAGTCTTGACAAAGATTTGTCTACCCACAAGAGCATTCCACAGTCCTGCACATCTCAGGGTTTTTCCCAATGTACAAGCTTACCGAACTACAGCCTCACTGGGGTAAGGAGGATCAGAGACTCGTGGGGACACTGAGCTGGATGGCAGCACCACCAAGCCCCCCTGCTCACCTGGCCAGGTGTGGCCCATCCCACAGCCCAGAGGTGATGAATTGCATCCGCTATTGATTCTAACCAAGGCAAACAATCAGCCACAAGCCATGTGTCAGCTTCCTCTGCCCACAGCCCCAGCCCTGCTTCCAGCCCCATTCCCCTGCCCACAGGCACACAGAGGGTTGGCCACAAACAAGCACAAGATGTTTCTCATTTTTTGCACCAGGAGCAGTGGCACTGGATGTGCTTTTCCTTGCTTATTGAGGCATTTTTGGTTTCCCCAGCAACTCCACTACAGGACAACCAGATGAACAGCCCAGAGGGCATGAACTGCTGAAGCCAGTTCTCCTCCCAGACCCTCTCTCTGCTGTGCCAAGCCTGGCAGTAGATGCTGGGAAGTGGGCTGGGAGGAAAGTCAGCTTGGAAGGAATCCTCTTGCAGCCTGGAATCAGGCATTCCTAACGTTATGGATCACTTGCTCCAAGGCAAATTCATTTCAAGATATGTGAAATACAGCCACAGCCAGTCCTGCAATGGAAACTGCTTGCCAGCATGCAGTAGCTGTTCCCAGGGCACCTTCTGCCATTTCATTGAGGGTCAGGAACAACCCAATTCCTGGGGCTGGGGAGCACATTTGCTGCAGATCCGAAAAAGCTCTGTACCAGGCAGAGATTGGTGTTGGCCAGTGCTGTGCCGAGCCACACCCCAGTGCCAGCTCACCCTGTACTTCACCATGAGTCACAGCCAGAAATGTCCACACAAGGGCAGCTCAAGAAAACCCAGGTTTAAGCCCTGGAGTGGCTGGACAGCCCACTGGCCATATCAGATCAGCCTGGCCACGAGCTGAGTGGTGGCACACAGCCACAGTGATTAGTGCACGCTGTGCAACACACCAGGCCTGGCTATCAAAAATCCCTATTTAAATCAGGACAGACAGTGTTTACCAGCAGGGCACGTAACAAGGAAATTACTGACTCACAAGCATAAATAAGATTATATGGGAGCGTTCCCTGAACTCATTCTTCATCATCCTCTTGAGCAAGGATGGGGAAGCTCCTGGAGGCCGCAAGAACTTCGCAAACCATACAGGAAACTTTTCTTGTGGGCAGTGGCCTCGCATCACAGGTTCATCCCACAGGGAAGTCAGGGCTGCTGGGCACCTCAATTACTCTCCAGGTTTAAAGGCATGTACTTCTAGGAAGCAGCCCTGCCTGGGAGCTGGGGCACGGGCAGGCTGGGAAGAGTTAACACTGGAGCGCTGTGCTCACAGGGCAGGTCTGCAGCAGGCACATTCCTCACATACACACCTGTGAGAGGGCACACAGGCACCTTCAGAGGACTCAAGAGCAGCAGCTCTGGGGCTTCCCAAGTGCCACATAAAGAGCTCCCTGGTGTATTGTTTTTAAAAAGTACATCCCTTTCCAAGAGCATGCAACCCTCCCTGCGGCTCTGCTGCCCAGTGAGGAGGCACCTCGGAGGGTGCCTGTACTTCCTCCTGGCTTGCAGGCTGTGGCCAAGAGGGAAAAGCCCCGAGATGACCACAAGAGGATGGTCAGCCCTTGCCAAGTCATCCCTGGCCACATCCAGCTTAACACCATCTGCAATTGCCAGCTGGAGAAGGGCACCAGTGCTGAGCTGAGCCTGCTTTCCCTGCACTGGAGCCAGGCCAGGGACTTGCTGGGAGAGCCTGGGCGGCTGCACAGCCCCACCTCACCCTGGCAGCTGGAGTCTTACAATTAATATGCTCCTCTCTAGGAGGAGTCTGTACAGGAATCAACCTTTCCTGCAGGAGTCTAGTTCTAGGATTTCTTCCTCATGTTAAGCAGCTTTATCCCCAGTAAGCATGAAGGGAGATTAAACAGCATGCTGGGGAGCAGAAGCTTTTCGTGCCTGCCAGTGGCCCAAAAAAAAAAAAAAAAAGAGTTTATTCCCTGCCCAGACAACCAGCACATCAGGCACACGTGAACTGTGTCATTCCTGAAAAAGCTGGGCACAGAGGCCTCATGTTTTGAGACTACTGGATGAAGCCAGACACTGCTCATTGGAGACACAGGAATAGCACCCCTGGGACTCCAGGCAGCCCTGCTGTGCTCCATCCCTAAACCATCCCACTATTTCGTGCTCCTGGGGTTTTCCCTTACAATCCCACAATACCACTCACCTCTTCTCAAAGCAAGATCAGCTATTTATTGAGGCAGCAAGCAAAGTTTCTGTGCAATGTGTGAATTTCCCCATGCCACTGGCAAGTTCCTGGGAAATAATCAACCCAGGCAGCTCACCTGCCCTAGCGTACACATCCTCACCAACACCTTTGCAAACCCTTTCAAAAAAACCCAAATGGTGTTTTGGGGCAGAGACAAAGTTTTCCAAACATGGAACTGGCTTTTACAGCTGTCCCTCGTCTCTGATCAAACACAGAGTTCATTACAAGCTCCTTTGAAGGGTCACAGCCAGCAAGCTGTAAAGGGAGTCAGACCTGCAGGGACTGGAGCATTCACAGTGTACAGAGCCCTTTATCAAGTTTATAATTTTGGCATGGAGATCCAGCGTTTTTCCTCCTGGTCTCCCTCCCCAGCACTGTGTACATAAACCTGGGAGTAAACAGGAACAAGGTGAAAGTCAACCTTTCCTAGACAAAGGCACATGGAGCTGGGCCAGCCTGGCAGAGGGCAGAGGCACAGACCTGTTAACCCTGAGCAGCCTGCAGGGACAGGTGGGTGTAAGCTGTTCCCAGGGCTTCTCAGGTGCTCTGCACTCAGAGTCAGTGGTACAGATCACCTCATGCCACTGCAGCAAGCAGCAACACACAAAATATCCTCCCCAGACAGATGTCACCCCACACCACCACAGTGCACAGCTATCAGCACAACCAGGAGGGGCTCCTGAACAACATGAGCAGCTGCAAGGCTGCAGAGCTCTGTAAACCACAGAGCCCAAGAGAGGGGATTTCCATACAGTTCACTTCCACCCAGCTCTTGCAGGAGCCCACAAACCAGGAAGGTTTTAAAGCTCAGGCCAAGCATGTGAAAGAGCAGGGCTTAGGAGAAAGCTCACCCCCTTGATGTCCCCAAGCCCCCAAAAGCAGAGGAGCCACAGAGCACTGGAAACAGGGCAGCTCAAATCAGTGTGAAACGGCCAAACAAAGCTGATCTCCACAGGAGAGAGGTGTGCAGTGACAACAAGCAGACTGCTCTATCTTCCCATCTGAATAAGCATTAGAAAACCTTTATTAGAAGAGAGATGAGCTTCAGCAGAGGCAGCTCCTTCCAGACAAGTAAGGGAAAGGTCTATATTCCCTGCCAAAATACCCTTCCTTCACTCCCTTCTCTCACTCCATGCTTTCAGCTCCATGTAAGGGAGAAGAAAATAAATACACAAGTCATTTTAGTCCTGAGAGCAAAGCAAATATCAGCATTTCAACTCAAGTCACACCTAACTCCCTTAACACACCAGCCACAGTAAAATAATACAAAAAACCCACTTGTGCCACCTCCTTGTGACCATGCCTGGAGGTATCATTTTACCACCCATTCCTGGTCAGTCTGTCCCACATAACTTGCAGCACACAAGGCCTGCACTGGCCTTTGTGCCAAGGGACAAAAGTTAAACAGCTCCTATCCAGGCATGTTTGCCTTTAGTTGCATGACACGATCACCTGAGGCTTCCAGACATAGTTAAATACTACCTTTGCTCAACACTTCCCAAGCAGTCCTAGAGCAGGGCCACAGGCAGCCTTGCCCATCTCCTCTGACAGCCACTGTCCTGCACTCCCACCACAGTGACCCATGAAGGTAAATCCATGGCTCTGAGGAAAGGGT